AGGTTCCAGAGGCCTAGACCCAATAGAATTTAAGAAGGTCTGGGCAAAGGGCTGGCTTGAAAGAGACTCTTCCAGAATCCAGATGGTAACCATGCGAAAGGGAGCCTGGCATGGTCTCCTTGTTTTAGATTTTTTTCTTTTTCTTTTTTTTATCCTCACCCGAGGACATTTTTGCATTTATCTGCAGATAGAGCAAGAGGAAGAGAGAGAGAGAGAGAGAGAGAAACATCACCTGAGAGACACATTGAGTGGTTGCCACCCATACGACCCCAACCAGGGCCAGGGACAAACTGCAACTGAGGTACATACCCCTAGTGGGAACCGAACCCTGGAATCTCTGGTCTGCGGGCCAATGCTCTAACCGCTGAGCCAAACCAGCCAGGGCTCTTTTTTCTTTTTTTTAAATCCTCACCTGAGGATATTTTTCTCTTTATCTTCAGATAGAGTGGGAGGGAGGGAAAGAGAGGAAGAGAGAGAAACGTTGATGTGAAAGGGACAATTCGACTGGTTGCCTCCTGCACAATCCTGACTAGGGCTGGGGGGAACCACAGTGGAGGTACATGCCCTTGACCGGAATTGAACCCAAGACTCATTGGTCTACAGGCCGATGCTCTAACCACTGAACAACACCAGCCAGGGCTAGATTTTTTAAAATTGATTTTAGTGACTGGCTGGTGTGGCTCAGTGGGTGAGCGTCAACCCATGCACCAAGAGGTCGCCCGTTTGATTCCCGTTCAGGGCCCATGCCCAGGTTGTGGGCCTGATCACCAGTTGGGGGCATGCAGGAGGCGGCCAGTTGATGTTCTCTCTCATCAATGGTTTTATCTCTTTCCCTCTCCCTTCTCTCTCTTAAAAAAAAAAAAATAATAATAATAATAATAATAATCAGCGCTGGCCGGTTAGGCTCAGCAGTTAGAGCACCAGCCAGCGGACCAGAGAGTCACAGGTTTGGTTCCCACTAAGGGCATGTACCTCAGTTGCAGTTTGTCCCCGGCCGGGTTGGGCTGTGTGAGTGGCAACCACTCGATGTGTCTCTCTCACGGTCGATGTTTTTCTCTCTCTCTCTGTTCTTCCTTTCCTCCCTCCTATTCTAGCTGGAAAAAAAAAATCAATAAAAAAAAATGATTTTAGCCCTGGCCAGTTTTGCTCAATGGTTAGAGCTTCAGCCTGCGGTCCACAGAGACCCGGGTTCGATTCCCGCTAAGGGCATGTACCTCCACTGCGGTTCGCCCCAGCCCTAGTCAGGATTGTGCAGGAGGTAACCAGTCGAATTGTCCCTCTCACACCAACGTTTCTCTCTCTTCCTCTCCTTCCCGTTCTATCTGAATAAAAAATGGAAAAATGTCCTCAGGTGAGGATTAAAAAAAAAAGATTTTAGAGGGAAGAAGGGAGAGAGAGAAACATCAATGTGATAGAGACATCAACCAGTTACCTCCTGTACATGCCCCAACCAGGGATTGACCCTGCAACCTAGGTATGTGCCCTGACCAGGAATCTAACCCTCGACCTTCTAGTGCCTGGGATGACAATCCAACCAACTGAGCCACACTGGCCAGGACTTGTTTTTTATTATTGATGAGATTTTTTTTTTTTTATCCTCACCCGAGAACATTTTTCCATTTTTTTGTTCAGACAGAGTGGAAGGGAGAGAGAGGAAGAGAGAGAGAAACATCGACGTGAAAGGTACACATCCAGTGACTGCCACCCACACGACCCAATCAGGGCCGCGGACAAACTGCAACTGATGTCCCTGCCCTTAGCGGGAATCAAACCTGGGTCTCTCTGGACCACAGGCTGACTCTAACCGCTGAGCCAAACCGGCCAGGGCTTGATGGGATTTTTTATACAGTCATTGCCTTGGTACTACCAGGAGATAAGGTCTGGGAAAGACCTTTGGCAAGTTGAAGGTCCAAGAGTCAGATAAGGAATATTATTCCAGGCATCCAGAGCCCATCTTCCTCCTTGCCAGTCCCACCAGTCTTTGAGTCCTGGAGCCTATTCTTATGAGTGGGTAACTCTCTGCTTCCCAGCAGGTGGCGCTACTGTCCTGACGATGCTGAAGGTTGCCAGCTAGGAAACTTGTTCTCAAAGAGCTGGAACCTGAACCAGTCCCTGGCAGGGATAGGATAGTGCAGTAAGTGCAAAGCTCTTTTGTTCATTCACGAATTCAACAAACACTAAACACCTACTATCTGCCAGGAACTGTTCCAGGTGCTGGGGATTTAGCCACAATAAGACAGACCAAATCCTGCTTTTACAGGATTTATATTTTAAAGTCATGCTGTCAAATATGGTAGCCACTAGGCGCACATGACTATTGAGCACTTGAAATGTAGTTATTCTGAATTGAGAAGTGCCGTAAGAATAAAATACACTACTGATGTTAAAGATTTGGTTAAAAATAATTTAAAATATCTAATTAATTTTATGTTGAAATGATCATATTTGGGGTTAAATAAAATATCTTATTAAAAAGAATTAAACCTTTTACCCTTTGAGATGACATGGAGGGAACTGGAAAGTATTATGCTAAGCTAAATAAGCCAGTCAGAGAAAGACAAGTACCATATGATCTCATTTATTTATGGAATATAATGAACAAAATAAGCTGACGATCAAAATAGATCCAGAGACATGGAAGTAGGGAACAGATTGACAAACCTCAGAGGGAAGTGGGGGGTGGGGTGGGAAGAGATAAACCGAAGAACTTATATGAATATGTGCACAACCAATGGACCCAGATAATAGTGTGTGGAAGACAGGAAGGGGGTGGGAGCAGGGAGGAGGGAGTCAATGGGGAAAAAAATGGGGCATCTGTAATACTTTCAACAATAAAGATTTTTAAAAAAGAATTAAGCCCTGGCTGGTTTGGCTCAGCGGTTAGAGCGTCGGCCTGCGGTCCAGAGAGACCCGGGTTCGGTTCCCGCTAAGGGCACGTACCTTGGTTGCAGATTGTCCCCAGCCCTGGTTGGGTTGTGTGGGTGGCAACCACTCAATGTGTCTCTCTCACATTGATGTTTCTCTCTCTCCCTCCCTCCCACTCTATCTGAACAAAAAATGGAAAAATGTCCTCGGGTGAGGATAAAAAAAAAAAATATATATATATATATATGAAAGGAAAAATCAATTAAAGCATTGTTAAAAGAAAGAAAGAAAGAATTAAACCTATTTATTTGTCTTTTATTTTTTTAACATGACCACTAAGAATTTAAAAATTTCATGTGGGACTCACATTTGTTGCTTGCATTATATTTCTACTGGACAGGATTGTAGAGGGTGAATCAGACAACATATAAATGTGCAATGTGATGTCAGGTGGGGAGATACTGGGGCTGAGAAGTGACGGGTGGAAATAAACCTGTGAGCATGGGGACAACATGGAGGCCAGTATGGCCAGAGCAGGGGAATAAGGCATGTAGGAGATGAATTAGGAAAGGACAGTCAGAGGTGCAGTTAAAAAGATTGTTGCATAAAAATAAAAAAATAAAAAGCCCAGCCAATGTGGCTCAGTGGTTGAGCATTGACCCATGGACCAAGAGGTCACTGGTTCGATTTCTGGTCAGGGCACATGCCCAGGTTGTGGGCTCGATCCCCAATAGGCCAGGCTCTCCTGTTGTTTCTTCTATGCCCTTCTTTGTTTTACTGTCCTAAGTGTGTTTTTGCTGCAGCCAACAAGTTCTTGCTTGCTTTGCTGCACTTTATCTCTTTTTTTTCCACTTTATCTTTTGATTGAAATTTTTCCTTTAAGACAAGAACTGCCCTGGCCGGTTTGGCTCGGCGGTTAGAGCCTGCGGTCCAGAGAGACCCGGGTATGGTTCCCGCTAAGGGCATGTACCCCGGTTGCAGTTTGTCCCTGGCCCTGGTTGGGTCGTGCGGGTGGCAGCCACTAGATGTGTCTCTTTCACGTCCATGTTTCTCTCTCTCCCTCCCACTCTATCTGAACAAAAAATGGAAAAAATGTCCTCAGGTGAGGATAAAAAAGAAGACAAGAACCGAGGTCTTGCTGGTAACATATTTACCACAGTTAGTTTATCTGTTTATCTATTGCACATTTGGATTCCTTCCCATTTTTGGCTATTATGAACAAAGTCCTTGGGTGGACATATGCTTCCATTATTTTTTGGGCAAATACTTAGAAGTGCAATGGCTGGACCATCTTGTAGGTGTAAATTTATAAATATGCAGATATAAATTTTTAAAGAAACGCCAAACTATTTTTCAAAGTGGCCAAAAATTATCAATAAATGAGGATTCCAGACACTCTACATCCTTGCCAATGTTTAAAGTGAGCCTGTTTTTTGTTGTTGTTGTTGTTTTTTAAGTGGCTGTGGGGGAGTTCTGATTTGTCTTTTCCTGATAATCACGCGAAGCATCTCCTCAAAGGCTTATTGGCTATTTATCTTTTGTAAATTTTCTGTTCAAATTCTTTGCCCATTAAAAAAAGAGGAGGGGTAACATATATTTCTTTTTGCAATTAATGTCAGCTAGGCACTTATGATCATTCGTGCTCATGGCTTTACAATTTAACTGACGGCGCCCCCTGCACTGAAGCCGTAACTAAGAGGCGTGGGGCACCGGGAGGGCTCAGAACGGCTTAGCTACAGAACCGTTGGGCCGTTATTTGTTTTGTTTTAGAGTGGGAGAGAAAGAGACAAACAGACACAGAGATAAAAACATTGATGTGAGAGAGACACATCGATTGGTCGCCTCCCGCACGACCCGTCCAGGGCCAGAGACGGAACCGCACCGGAGGTACATGCCCTCGACTGGGATCGAAGACGCCACTCTTTGGTCCGCGGGTCAACGATCTAACCGGGGGGCCAAACCGGCAGGGCCGCTGGGCCATTTTCTACGCAGGGTCCCGGGTGATTCCCGAGGGCTGGAGCAGTGCTTGGCCGACGGAGCACTTCCGCAGGCACTTCCGACTCCCGGCCCGCCCTGAGCAGCGGTGATTGGCGGGCTGGCCGAGCGCGAGTCCTCTCGGGAGTCGTAGTTCTTGGGGCTGGGCTGGGGACGCCGGGAAGCACCAGCGGTCCGAGGCTAGGATCGGCGGTTGTGCTTGCTCTCCACCGCTGGCATCATGTCCCGCGTGTCGGTGCCCTGCCATGTGAAAGGCACCGTGGCGCTGCAAATGGGCGATGTGCGGACCTCCCAAGGCCGGCCTGGCGTGCTGGTCATCGATGTTACCTTCCCCAGCATCGCACCCTTCGAGGTGAGCAAGCCCTGTAGGCGCGACCCGGGCTCCTGGGCGGGGCTGACCTGGGAACCCAGGCATGACTCAGGCATTGAATATTTTACACAAAGCCGAGGTGCTGGCCGCGCCCTTGAGAATCAGTTAACCATTTATTTATTCCTTTAGTTAGCACATATTTACTAGAAGGTTCTGTTGTTGGCATCACCTCTCCTCCATGTACAGGACAGCGCTGGCAGGAAAGTGCCAAGATAGTAGGCTAGGTGTTGAACCAAATATAGGTGAGGTCATTTTGTCCTGGGGATCATTAGACAGTGAGTTACCCCAAAACCTGCCTGCTGCCCATTCCTATAGTCTCTGCTGGAGGTCAGGTTCAACCATCCTTCATCAGAATCTTCCCAATGGCTCCAGTGGTTCAGTCTCCAGTTGCACTTCCACATCAGTTGGCAGAGTGACTGGACACTGCAGGACTTAAAATAGAAGATCAAGTCTGTTTTCTGATGGCCTGGCATTCAGGGCCACTTTGTGTCTATGCCTTGCCTACCTCTCAACCCCATGCACTCTGTCCAATAGAGTGCGGTTCTCCTGGAAGCTGTTCCTTAAGTATGAGCTGGGAAATCCTGATTCAGTAGGTCTGGGGTGGAGCTGGTACACCTATATACATATTTTTTTTAACTTTCTTGGGTGATTCTGATGAATGTCCAGTGATCAGAACTGCTATAACCAGACTATGCTCTTTTTTACATTTTCTACCTTTCTTGGTTCACTTAGTGAATTCTTCCTCCTTCAGACCTCATCTGTACATTTTCTGCCTCCTCCAGAGTTAGGGCTCTGAACTCTGGCAGCATCTTGGGCATGTGGCAAGATCTGCAATTGTTGTTTATATGACCTGTTTATTTAGACTATGAGCTCCTTTAGAAAAGTGAAATTGTCTTTGAGCCCCAAAGGATGCTTATTAAATTGGTAGAAGAGGACATTCCTAAGGGGAGGAGGACATGGTGCCTTTGAGCCTCTCAGGCCCTGGGTCTGGTTTGTCATGGTGGTTTGTATGTGCTCTAGTTGCAGGAGATTACATTTAAGAATTACTATACAGCCTTTCTGAGTATCCGTGTTCGCCAGCACACCTCAATGCACACACAAGCCAAGTGGGTGACCTGTCTGCGGGACTACTGCCTGATGCCTGACCCACACAGTGAGGAGGGAGCCCAGGCGTATGTATCGCTGTTCAAGCACCAGGTCAGCTGGGACTGAGCACGGCCAGGGCAGCCCAGATGAGGGCTCACAGGGGGCCTGAGAATTGGGCCAGGATATCAGGAGGGATGAGGGGGGCAAGGCTATCCTGGGCTGTGGCTTTTTTGGAAATGCCTTGGAGGGACTACTGTTCTTTCCTTCCCAAAGGCCTGGGGAGGCAGCAGCTTGGCTCATTGCTCATTGGGAGGCTCCTGGGCAGTGAGCTGGGGCCTCGCTGGGTCCTTGAATGTGTATGTCAGATGCTGTGTGACATGGCTAGAGTACTGGAGCTGCGCCTGATTCTGCGACAGCCATCGCCACTGTGGCTGTCTTTCACAGTAGAGGAGCTGCAGATCTACCAGCAGGGACCAAAGGTAAGTGACTAGCTCAGAGCTGTTGGCCAGCCCTTTCCCCAGGAAGCTCCTAGCTATGGCTGGCAGAGCAGGGGGTGGGAGTAGGTGTGGATAGGTAAAGATGACACTCAGGAGAAGGCCTTCATGGAAGTTGACGAGGTGGGAATGTTGGAAGCTCATTATGAGAGGTAAGGCTATGTCTCCATATCCCCTGACCTTTGGGGCCATCCATCTCTTTCAGAGCTGGAGCCTTCAGGTGCTGGGAGGTACTTCTATTCTCTGTGTTTCTGGGCCTCCTTCTGCATAGCAGAAGAGCTTTGGTCGTCTGATTGCCCTTTGGGCCTATGTGGACCCCTGAATAGGGTTTCACAGTATTCAAGGTCCCAGGGTCCTTCTCTCTGCTCCCAGGACCTTGGAAACAGGTCTCAGGACTCTCCCCCTCTTCCTCCCTCAGGGCAATATGTCTTTGCTTTGCAGAGTCCCTCCATGACCTTTCCTAAGTGGCTCTCCCACCCAGTGCCTTGTGAGCAGCCTGCTCCCCTCCTTGAGGTAAGCTCTCACCCTGGGTAAGAACCATGTGTGAATAGCTCTCATGTCCAGGTGGGCCCCTATCTACAGGAATCTGGGCTGAACCTAGGGCCCTTGGTTCATTCTGTGCTATCTTCCTCCTGGGTGTTCCATGGGAGTTGAGGTATCTCTGTGTGGGGCTGGGCCACCTACTGCACATCAGGCCCCAACCTCATATTTCACGTCATCTGGGAATGTTACTGGTCTCAGCTGGAGGGCCCCATAGCCCAACTTGGCCTCTCTCAAGCTCTAAGGGCACTATTGGGGAGAGACTCATGGCCACTGACCCCTCCTTCTGGAGCAGGGTCTCCCAGACCCCAGCAGGGTATCTTCTGAGGTGCAGCAGATGTGGGCGCTGACGGAGATGATCCGGGCCAGTCACACCTCCACAAGGATCGGCCGCTTTGATGTGAGTGATCGCTTCCCTCTGCTTGGCTCCCATTGCTCTGAATGGGTCAGATCTGATGGTCTTTTGTGTTGCAGGTGGATGGCTGTTATGACCTGAACTTGCTCTCCTACACTTGAGCCCTGGCTCTTAACCAAGACATTGACCTTCTGTGCCCACCCAGGCCTGGTTTGGGCCATCAGAGCCCGAAGTGCTTTCCCTGTGCATTCCGATTGTTGCCTGCATGCCCACTGTGTCTGGGCCACATTCACAGAGTCAAGATTCTTCGGGGCTCACTGTGCTGCTTCAGCACGAGCACCTGGTGTGGGGTGGGGTACACTGTGCTCACCTGATTGCAACCCCAAACTTTTTCCTACCCTAAAAACACCCCAGTTCGACTTACTAAGAATCCCTGCGTGCCCTGTGCCCCTCCTGCCTACATACATACACCTGTCTTCTGCCTGCTCCCTCACCTGAGTGCAGTGTATTGGGGTGACCTACTAGAACCTGCTCTATCTAGCCTTGGAAGGCGGCTGCAACCATGGCATTCTTTTTTTTTTTTTTTTTTTAAGAGAATGTTTTAGTTTTTTTGAGTCAAACTGACCGCACGCCAGGAAGCAAGATCTCAAATGCTCTACCCGGGCACTCTTAGTTTGGAAGCTTGAGAGAAACAGGAGCCCCATTTCTTCCTTCTGCGCCCCCTAGTGGTCTTTCCCTGTGTGTCATGCCCACAAAAGGAAATTTCCTGTCTCAATTCCTGCTGCCTGCCTAGGGAGTAAAGCTGGTGATGTGGGCTATAGGAGTCCCTTGGTTTGAGTTGGCACTTGGATGTGTGTGTCCCCTACCTAGCCTAGGCAGGAGACTGGCAAGGCCAGGACCTGAGAATGAGTCCTAGGACCTGTCTGCCATCAAACACAGCCCAAAGTACATCCTTGTCCCTTCTCCCAGCTGCCTCCTTCCAAAAGTCATGCTCAATGTGATGAGGGATCATGGTGGGAGGTGGGCCTAAGTGAGGGTTCTCGTTGAGGCTAAGGCCCTCTACAATCCCAGGACAGCCACTGAATAAGGCAGGCTGCTCTTCCTAATGAGAAAACTCCTGCTTCTCTCATTTCCCCCCCGGCTTTGCCTCTGGCAGCTCTATGAGGCAATACTGCAAGTGTTGGACCTGGAAAATTAGATATTTGTATGGCTCAACAACTTTCTGGGGGAAGATCAGCCACCTTTTGGTGGCCACCTCTTTCACCTGTCAGAGTTCTTGCAGATGGTACCTTTCCCTGCAGGGTCATTTACCTAGCTCCATTCAGCTTTTGCTAAGAGGGTAATGACCGAAGTTCTTTGCTCAGGGAGTATTGGCCCTGTGTGTGTGTGTGTGTGTGGTGATCCCTGTGGTGGCAGAACTGTGCTTCATTCACAGCTGTGTTCCCAGCACCTAGCACAGGGCCTAGTGTGCAGCAAGATGAATAAATAGTTGTGGAATGCATGACTGCTGGCTGCCTGTGTCTGCCCAGTTGGAGATCTGGAGACCCTCACATGTGACCAGGCTCCTGCGGTGCTCAGCCTGCCAGGCCGGCAGCCTCTGGCTCCCCTTCCTGTGTCCTCTCCATTTTTCCCCCTCTCATTTGACCTTACTCTCCTGATGATCTGATTTTGCGATTCAAGCCTCTCAGCCCTTTGCCTGAACTTTGACTCTTGGAGGCAGGGCAGTGAGCAGGGGGAGGTCTAGCCCCTGGCTCTGATTCTAAGCAGCATAACTGGCTAGGACCTTCCCACCTGCAAGTGGAAGCGCCTGGGGCTGTTTTCCTGCTGCAGGAACTCACTGCACTCTGTGAGCTAAAGCCCCGCCTGCCTGCCCTCGGGGCTGCCCGCCCCTCTTCTGATCCCCTTTGTGGGAGAGAGACTTGTCCGACCAGGGCCCAGACTACATCTCCCAGCGTGCCTGACAGAGTGGTGGCCTCTGTGCGTCGGCTGTACCGGTCGGAGGCCACAATGCAGCGGGCAGTGAGCGTGGTAGCCCGTCTGGGCTTGCGTGGGCAGGTGCTCCCCTCGGTCCTGGGCCGTCCGCTCAGTGGTGCACAGGTGGGCTAGAGGGTGCTGGGGCATGGTGCTAATCTTGGAGGGTGGGGGATGGAGGGGGTTGGGGACTGGGGCCCTGGAGGTTCTGAGTCCGGCCGCCCGCAGGACGTGCTCCGCAGGACACCACTCTATGACTTCCACCTGGCCCATGGCGGGAAGATGGTAGCCTTCGCAGGCTGGAGTCTGCCTGTGCAGTACCGAGACAGCCACGTTGACTCACACCTACACACACGCCAGCACTGCTCGCTCTTTGATGTGTCCCACATGCTACAGGTGAGCCGGGGAGCATTCCTGCCTCCAGGGCTTCCTCCCTGTCCACAGTGGTACCACTCTCAGCTTTTGTTTACTGGGAGCTGGATTCCAAGGGCCGCCCTCTCAGAAGAGTTGGAGGTGTCACAGACTATGGCCCGCAGGAAAGGAACTTCCAGGGTCTCCTGATCAGCTCCTCTAATCTCTCCAGTCTACTCTCATTTAGTGGTATACCTTAATGTCCTGGGTTTTCCAGGGCTGGCACCCATTTTTATCCACTGTCCTGAGTATTGGTTTGGAAAGGGGGTATTTCAGGAAGGTGCTGGGTCCCTTCAAATTCCCTAACCTTCTCCCCATGGCACCCCCTCCTATATTGGCAGATGTGGGGGTATCAGAAGGTGGGGACTACAGAACCAAAAGCTGGTGACTTCAGCTGGGTTGGACAGTGCTATGGATGGCAGGGAGGACACTTCCTTGACCAGTGGGCTTCCAGATTGGAGCTATTGCAGTGTCCTGAGGCTTTTGATCTTTTTCTCAGACCAAGATATATGGTTGTGACCGGGTGAAGCTGATGGAGAGTCTAGTGGTTGGAGATATTGCAGAGCTAAGGCCAAACCAGGTGGGCCCCTCTTATTTCTGCTCAATGGTTGTTAGTCATGAGCCAACAAATGAGTCTCTACTTTGGCTTGGGGCCACACTGATGGATCAGACACAGCTTTGTAGTCTTGGAACATAGAATCCCTGAGTCATGTCCAGACACCCAACCATCTGCAGGGATGGGCCATCCTCACCACATCAGGCTGGGAGGCCAGAAACTCAGGTTCATGTCCTGTTCTGTGACCTTCCATGCTGCCCAACCCCTCGCAATTCAAAGTGTGGTCCCTAAACCAGCAGCCTCATCATCACCTAGGAGCTTGTTAGGAATATACTCTCAGGCCCTCTTCCAGACCTTCTGAATCAGAACCTGCGTTTGAACAAATCCCCAGGTGATTCACATGCCCTCTCAGCCTTAGGCTCTTCCTCCATCTAGTGGGGCAGCCGTGGCCGCCCTCACAGTATTTTGGAGCATTGCTGCTGTGGAGCTCTTAGGATCAAGATGGACTTTGAAGCTTTCTATCCTGGGGTTTGGAGCATGGACTGAGTTGTCCCAGGTTTGGGTGGGATAAAGCAGCAAGTCCTAGGTATCATGGATTAAGTACGAGATGGGGCTCTCAGGTCTGAGTGGGGAGGGGTGCAGTGGCCCTACCAATTCAGAAAGGTCCCCCAAGGCGGGGATGGGATGAAAATGTTCTCAGTGCATGAGGATCAAATACCCTGAGCTTGGGCAGGGGTCTGGGGTGACCCAGCCTTGCTCCTTGCACTCCCAGCCCTATGCATGAGGGTTCTTGGGTTTGGGTGTGTCTGACTCACATTTGACATTGACCTTCTGGACATGGATGCAAAATTGCTCCATTTTGGTGCTAGGGGACACTGTCGCTGTTTACCAATGAAGTTGGGGGCATCTTAGATGACTTGATTGTGACCAACACCTCTGAGGGGCACCTGTATGTGGTGTCCAATGCTGGCTGCTGGGACAAGGACTTGGCTCTCATGCAGGTACAGCCCCCCTCTGTATTCTAGGTACCCTATCTTCCTTACTCACAGAGCAGCATCCTTGCTGTTTAGGGCAAACCTGGCAGGGACAAGGGGCTCAGACAACAGCTCTTTTAGTGAATGAACAGCATGCCAGAGTAGGCCCTCCCTGGAGCATGCCAGGTTTCACTAGGGGAGGTGAGGAGGTGGAGAGGTGAAGCTGACTCTGGCCCCTAGGTGAGCATCCTCTGGTGAGGGTGGAGGGCTGGAGCCTGGTGTTAGAGCTGGCAGACCTGGGCTTGGGTCATCCCTACCACTTACACGACCTTGTAAGATGAGAACCAGCCTATTCTGCTGAGTTTTGTAGCACCTGGAAATGGTCCTAGAAGCCGATGTGGTGTTTCTGTCTTCCCATTTAGGACAAGGTCAGGGAGCTTCAGAACATGGGCAGTGATGTAGGCCTGGAGGTGGTGGATAATGCCCTGCTAGCCCTGCAAGGTGAGCTGCTAGGATGGGGTTGGGGTTGGAGCTGACCTTTGCCTTCCTGGCTTCTTTAACTACTTAGCAGAGGCCGTAGCAGGAAGAAGGTGTGGATGGTGTGAGATTTGTTTGCCATATTCTAAGCTGGGCTTCTAAGCTGCCATATTGCTCCACTGGCCCCAAGGCTCCATGGGCTATGGGGCAAGAGCATCTTCTTCCACATGCAGTGGAGCACTTGCTCAGGGCTTCTTCTGGTCCCTGAGTAAGGGCTGCAGTCCGGCTTTGAGGGGTGCTGGGCCTGGACACTTGGTCACTGGCTCCCTGGGCCCAGGTCCCACTGCGGCCCAGGTGCTACAGCTCGGCGTGGCAGATGACCTGAAGAAGCTGCCCTTCATGACCAGTGCTGTGATGGAGGTGTTTGGCGTGCCCAGCTGCCGCGTGACCCGCTGTGGCTACACAGGAGAGGATGGTGTCGAGGTGTGTCAAGGACTGGGGCAAGGCAGTAGTGCAGGGCAAGGACTCGGGTCAGCAGCCCACCTACTCCCTGTCCCATGCAGATCTCAGTGCCAGTAGCGGGGGCAGTCCACCTGGCAACAGCTCTGCTGGAAAACCCAGAGGTGAAGCTGGCAGGGCTGGCGGCCCGAGACAGCCTGCGTCTGGAGGCAGGCCTCTGCCTGTATGGGAATGACATCGATGAACACACCACACCTGTGGAAGGCAGCCTCAGTTGGACTTTGGGTGAGTTAGGCTCGAACTTGCGGATGGGATCCCGAAGGCTAGAGTGGCCCTTAATGAGACCAGCCAGCCAGTGACTCAGCCTCCCTGAGTCTCCATTACCTGAAGGTGCCACTGTGGCTTTACCCATTAGATGGTGAGGACCCTCAGCAGGCTGAGGGGCAGCACAGCCTCTAAGACCAGGGGGCAAGTAGATGGGTGGCTGACTGACTACATGGCAGGGGAGGAATAGGGCCTATGGAAGTCTAGGCGAAGGGGCCTTGATGCTGACGGATGTCACTTGAGGCCCTCGTGGCTAGGACCTCCTGTGGCCAGGGGTGCTTTGGACTGTGGCTTAAGTCTGGTATGTCACGCTCCAGGGAAGCGCCGCAGAGCTGCCATGGACTTTCCTGGAGCAGCAGTCATCGCTCCCCAGCTGCAGGGCAAGGTGCAGCGGAGGCGTGTGGGCTTAATGTGTGAGGGGGCTCCTATGCGGGCACACAGCCCCATCCTGAGTATGGAGGGCACTGTGATTGGTAGGTGGATCAGGGAGGTTGGAGAGCTCTTGTCCCTTCCCCAGGAGAGTGGGGGCACTCGCTTGTCAGGGTGGTGCTGACACATGGTCTTTGCCCGGACAGGTACTGTGACCAGTGGCTGTCCCTCGCCCTGCCTGAAGAAGAATGTGGCAATGGGCTATGTGCCCTCTGAGTATAGTCAGCCAGGTACCCCGCTACTGGTAGAAGTTCGGCGGAAGCAGCAGATGGCTGTGGTCAGCAAGATGCCCTTTGTGCCCACAAACTATTATACCCTCAAGTGAGGATAGCTTGGGGCTGGGCCCTCCGCTGGAGGGCATTCTGCAAGGGGTTTTTCAGGAAGCTGAGGCAGAACACATTGGGGGTAGGCGGCTAGGGTGCAGGCTGGTTCTGGCTGTCCGGTTGAGAGTGGGGACACACTACCTATACCCCCTCATCCTGTGCCACTTCAATTTCAAGACCAATTTCTCAGTGACAGACCAGCTAGCTCACCCAATGTCTTATTTCAGCCCATGCTCCCACAGGCCCCTCTTGCCTGCCGGAGGCTGAGAATCATCAGTCCTGGCATTTCCACTCTGCCAGGTGCGGGCTGTGCCTCGAAGGCGCACCTTTAGGAGGATAAAGCCTGCCAGACCTACCTCACCACGGTTTCTCACTACCGTGGGCAGTGCCAGCCGCCTCCTCCAGTTTACTTTCCATGAATGCAAACTTCTGCCTCTCCCTGGGCAGGAATGATTCCTGACTCTCAGAGCCTTGGCCCAGTAGGGCTGCTGTGTCTGTGTAAACTTGGGTATGGTTGAGGGGGCATGGATTTAATCTTCCACATTCCCAAGTTGGTCCAGCCTGCTGCCCAATAGCAAACCGTACCACGCTCACCACCTGTTTTGAGGCCCAAGGCTGTTGTAGGGCAGGCTGGGCCTCCTGGAGTTGCCTTACCCAGGGTTGACCTTCACCCCTGGGCCCATTACTGGCCTCTACTGACTCCTGAAAAAACATTAAACGAGTTTTCTTCCTTCTTGCTTGCCAGAGTCTAACTTCATTGTCCTTTGCCCACAGGGTTCCTAGGGTGCCAGCCCAATGCTTGCCTTCCTGGCCTCTCACACAGGTTTATAGTGGGTTCCCTTAGAGAAGGGCAGGTGTACAGGAACTAACAGGATAAGTGCCCGTGTTGGGCACCCAGCATTGCTCCATTAGGGAGCTGGCATCAACCCCCAACTTCTCAAGTCATTAAATTCTGAGTGCTGAGGGGTAATCGCCTTGGGGCATTCTTTCTCCAGTTTCCCCTGTGCGTGCACACCCTTGTCCTGTCTGAATAACCACACAACTGATACACTTCCATGTTTAATAAGCCACATCCTCAGTTGAGCCTGGGGTGGAATGTGAGACCCTATGTGGTGGTTGTCAGTGGGTAAATCATCATCCTGCCAGCCAGAAGGCAGCTCTGCAGTAAGTACCTGTGCAAGAACTCAGTGTAGTCCTACTTCTGGTGCACCTGCGTGCAAAGATCTAGGCAAAGGCTGCCAGATAGAAATGTGACATCTAACAGAGGGAGCAGGCAGAAGTACAGGGAAGGAGACAGGTCTAGGACCACACTAACTTTAGGAGCGGGTGTTTGCCACCCATACCTTTGGAAGTTCTCCTGGCTTATTTTGGACGGGGCTGGCCTGCCTAGCCTGTGGCTCTGCCCTCTTAAGTTGTTGGGAGCTGAGATGGTGATAGTGGGGAGGAGCTGAACATGTGGGCTCTCATCACGAAGCTCCTGTGGTTCCAGGTCAAGATGGGAAGTGTTGAGGCTGTAGGGCAGGGTAGGGCTGTTCTGCACTGACTGCTTAGAATCCTATGGGCACTTAAGTGGTGGGGGTGGGAAGTCACCCTGGGGCTCAGTCTGTTTCAGGTACCCAGCTTCCCTTCAAGAAGGATTGAGAAGAATATGAGTACTATACTTAGGTAAGATAGTTTCCATAGCTTGGCTCACACCTGGAGAGCTCTGGATGGGACAGGAAGGTGGGTGTTTGGTGCCTCCATGTCTGGATATTGCCAGCTGCCCCCTGCCTTATACATGAATGGCCAGCTAAGTAACCATAGAGTATAAGACTATGTCCAGGGCAAGATACCTGGCTCCCTGACAACACAGCAAAACCAAATTCAGTAAACCTAGGGCTTAGGGGAAAACAGACTTTCCCTACAAATCCCAGAGCTAGTCAACCTCAGGCGTGCTCTCAGAGGGACAGATCTCTAGGGGTCACATCCCAGGGGGATGGGAAGAGTGACAGGAAAAAGCCAAGAGGAAATGGACTGCTGGGCTTCCTAACCCAGAGGATTCTCCTAAACTGACCCCCGAGAGGAGGAGAATGCCTTCTCTAAGGCACCCAGATCAGGGTAGAGGCAAACTTGACTGGCTCAATGCTTGGGGCTGCTTGAGGAAATGCCAAGGGCAGTGGAGGCCCAACTCCACAAGCACTGGGGTACTCCCTACTCCCCAACCCTGATGCCCCTTGCAGTCATCCCTGGGGTCTGGGCAGCAGTAGAACCCAGTGTGGGAGCTGGCAGATGTCCCTGGAGACCCCTCTGCTGCCTTCCCTTATTCTCTGTGGGTTTTGAGAGGTTCATTTGCTGCTGTTTCCCTAAAAGTGATGGAGAGAAGAAAGAGGGGTTATTCTGCAGGCAGCACAACAGTCCCTGAGATTAGCTTTCTCTAGTTCCTTCTAGGGGCTGAGTGGAGCTCAGTAAGGCCACACTACAATCTAAAACTTTGCTGAGTTCCCACAGCCCACACCAGGCCCACCACCTTTCTCCTACAGACTCATTCTTCCTTGTGGTCCCTTCCTTCTGGTGGTACTACCATCCTTCCCCATTTGCCCAAGATAAAAAAAAACCAGGGCAGTGGTAGGTCTCCTAATTGGCATCTTGCACTCTCTAATTGGATCCCTCTACGTACTTGCCACAAGGCAGGCAGATAAAAAGGCACATTAGATTAGGCCATGGCCTAATTGTGGCTGAGTCCTTCAATAGCTACCAAAAGCGTAGGCTTTGCAGGTTCCTCCATACCTTCATATTTGAGCTCCAACATCACAGCCTTGTCTATTCCTCCAATATATCACCCTTGTTCTTGCCTCTGGGCCTGTTCTACCCATTCTCTTTACCTGTACACTTTAGCACCCGCCTGGCCTTTGCCCTCAGCTTAAGTGTCTCTATTGAGAGAATCCTCTGACCACCCTCATCCCTGCACTGCTGCCCTCCCTTGTCAAATCTCTGGCTCCCTCTATAAGCAGGGCCTGGGTTGTCCTTGTTCTCTGGTCCCTGCCATGTGGTAGGAGCTCAGAGATTAGCTGAAATAATGCCCTGATTAATGAGTTCATGTTTTACAGATGAGTAAGGCTGACCCTGATGAGGCCAGTCAGTGCACTAAGGACAGAGGCTCCCGCCTTTCCAACTGAGGGGCTTACAGAGGAGTGGAATCCAAGCGACTTGCCATTTCATCTCTGAAATTGTGAATAACACGGTCCACTCCACAGATTGCTGTGAGTCACTTGAAACCTGAGCTCTACTTGAAGATCCTGGAGCTTCCTGCAAAGGCTAAGCTGGAGGACTCCTGCCCTGAGAACTCCCCTCCTCAGTCCCCAGCACAGGAAGTGTCCCTCTGCCTGCCTAGCACGGGGTTGAGATGGTAACAGATGTACTCACCAAGAAGGGAAATGCGTGGAGCCATCAGGTGTGGATCCGTTCTGGCCGCCCAGACCTGGGGGCAGGAACACATCCAGAGCTGCAGCAGGCTAGGTTTGCGATCTGAGCAGGCATTAGCCCAGGTCAGGTTAGAGGCTAGTGGTATTTGGTGGATAGTCTGGTGGGGGACCTAAGGGCCTGGTGGTATTGTCTTATGAGGGTTCAAAATAAGAGTTCTAACGTGATGGGTGGACTAGCGGCGTTTGCATGAAATGCTATGTTGGCATGGGTCAGAATACAGCGTTAAGTTGTGAAACAGTTCTTAGGGGACCAACGGTAGTCTAAGGTGGTTCTGGGCAGCCCAACGGTCCGGTCCGGTGGGTGTGAGGGCGGTCAGTCCTCGGAGGTTGGTGGGGAGCCTCACCTGGGCGATGATACAGCCCGGTCACCGTGCTCCCGTAGAACCCCCACGCCAGCTGGATGCCCAGGAGACTTAACACCAACCACAGCAACAGCAGCTTGAAGAGGGTCACACGCATGTCCTGCGCCTCCCACTCCCGCAGGAACTCGCTGCCCAGGGCGCCCAGAGCACCCAGCACCGTGGCCGGGAGAACTTGCAAGGACTGCCCAGACCAAGACTCCGCCATGACTGATCCGGGCCCCACCCGGAGGGCTGTCACCGTAGCCCCCACTGCGCAGGCGTCTAGTCTTCCGGGAACCAAGCCCGTTAGGGCGCACGCGTAAACCTAGGCAAAAAGAGCCTAACTCGCCTGCGCGAAGAGTTGGCAGTTTGGGAGGAGTATTAAAACCGCGCACGCGCACTAGCCCCACCCTGCTTACTTAAAGGATGACTGATTCGAGGAGTACAAAATAGCAACCAGGTCTTTTATAGCCCCGGAGTTCCCGTGATGCCTCACGCGGCTACAATTATTGGTTAAGTGCCTTGCCTTTAGGGCGTGGACGCACCGCTGAGCAATCGTGGCTGAGCTGTGAGTGTGCGCGCGTGCGCGGGGCCGCGACTGAGGCCAGCTCGAGTCCGCTGGGCATACGGGGGCGCGCACGTCGCTCCCCGCCCTCCCGCCGCCGCCCGCCCTCGCTCGCTCGCGCTCCCCGCCCGCTGCCCGCCGCCCTCCGTCGGTTCTCTCGTTAGTCCGCCGCCTCCTCCTCAGCCACCCGCTCTAGTCTCCGAGCTTGCGACTCGCGGACGGCCGTCCTCGGCGCAGAGAGGCCGGAGTCGGAGCCGTCGCCTGAGGTGAGTGAGAGGGTTTCCTCCAAGCGCGCCCCGGGCCCGCCCGCCCGGCACTCTTCCGGCCGGCCGCCTGCCCGCCCGCCGCCCCGCCGCGGCCGCGCCCCACCTGCTGCTCTAGGCTGGCCGCCCCTGGACCCTGACCCTGACTCCGGGCCTGGGCCCCTTTCCCCGAAGCGGCGGCCCCGCCCGCGCAGTCCCCGGAAGCGCGCCCCGCGGCCTCCCGCGCCCCTTCCCCCGCCCGGCCAGGCCTGCTGGAGCCCCAGCCGCCCGCCCGCGGTCCCCGGTGCTTCCTCTCCCTCGGCCCGGCAGGGCGGGGGCTCCGAGCCGGGCGGTGCAGCCGGCCGCTACGAAGCGCGCGTGGCTGTCGGAGTTGAAATGGGAAAGAAACTCTTTACAACTCCATTTTGGCTTTTACATTTAATGTGAAACATGAATCACAGATTTACACTGGGTGAAGTCCAGTTGTGTCTGGGGTAGATTTTTTCTTAATTCAGTGTTTTTAGAGCTTGTGTAAGTAAAAGATAGTATTGAAATCTTAGGGGTTAGGATTCTTAAGTATTGCAAAGAAGGATATTGTCCGTTAAAAAATATTTTTTATGATTTACATAAACTATGCTTCGTCAAAATATTAATTTGCAATTTTGCTTAGTCTAAGTTACTACCTTGATTAGCAATCACCTAAACATTTGTCCTTAGTTACCAATTGGACCTAGTTACCGGTCGTCTTCATTATAGCACTATTTGCACTCAAATTGATTTGGTCAAAGTCATGTTGAGTAGTTTATGGTAGAAAATTGGCATCCTTTTAATCTCAGAGTTGGTTCCACTTGTGTTTTTTTTAATGGTCCTGATTAAAAAAATTTTTTTTACTTAATGATTTTGAGAGAGGTAGAGATACTGATTTGTTGTTTTACTTATCTATGCATTCATTAGTTGTTGGTGTACATATGGTCCCTTACTAGGGATCAGACCTGCAACCTTGGCTACCAGGATGACACTCTAACCAACCGGGGTACCCAGCCAGGGCCTGATTTAAAATTTTAACCTCTGTTGGTGACTTGTTTGATTCTTTGTGTGTTTAAGATAGTCTTTTGAAGTATCTTGCACGTGTGTAGTCTCATTATATTCCTCCTGCAAGATCTGAATGGGAAAAAAATTACATTAAAAAAAATTCTTCAATGTTGTATGTGGTGAGAAATTTTCAACCACTTAGTGCTACACACCCAAATGTGTAATGTGTATGTACACTTGCATGATTGTCACTTTTGACACGGCTAAATTGGTAGAGATACTGTTTTGAGTATTTGGCACAAGTGTCACTGTTTAGACTGGAATGTGCAAGACTAGCTCTTAATTGTAAAGGATCACTTAATGAAGGGTCTTTTTGAGAAAGCTTGAGAGTAGTCCATCTGCTTTTGTAGAGTGCTGGTGGCTTTTGGGGACATAAAATATATTAGATGGAACTTGCTTTGTGTCAAAGTGTAATCCTAGATTTAGAGCCTCTGTTCTCATAAAAATCTGCAGTCCAAGAAAGAAGAGAGTAGGAATGCGACTTTTTCATAGATCCTGAATTTTGGACCTGAAGGGAATCTTCGGGAATTTTACTCCAACTCCATTTGCACATGAGGAAATTAAGTTTCAGAGACGTAAAGTAAATTTCTCAAGTCATGTCTAGTCAGGTGCAGGCCACAACTATTTTCTCTGTAAGGGATTCTCCATGTACTACCAAACAGCTTGTGTAGAATCAGCTAAAATTCAGGATTTAACAACTTATTCCAGTTTTATTCTCCTTTTATGTATTGCTGATTTTATATATATTGGGAAAATCTAAAAAATTCATTTTTCTAACAAAGTTTAGTTCTTTAGCTAAAACACTCTCCTCTCTGTAACTGAGTTGTCCTGTAGCAGTTGATGGAAATAAATGAATAGACAAGGCCCATGCCTAGTACTAGCTTTATGTTTTGGGTCTGTTGAGGGGCCACCTTCTTCCACAGTGAGTCCCAGAATCCCCTGCTCCAAATCTAACATTATTATGAGGTCAGGCTAAGATGTTATCAGGCAACTTGTGCTCTTTTGAATACTGCTTTTAGGTAGGTCGGGGAGAAACTACATATATCATGTAGATAGTTACTTGTGTGTATAGTAGTGGTTTTGTTGGAGTATTTTTATGGTCCTGATTCCTTTTTTGTCAGTTAACTTTTTTGTCAGTTAACTTTTAAAAGTTTATCCTGGTCATGTGGGGGTGTAAGTTATTAGGAGAGTGAAAACAGGTAGATCTTCAGGTGTTTCCTGTCTATGGGGTGGAGTCCAAGCCATGACAGGAGGAGGAAGTGGGTTGCTACTTTGGGTCTTACTTGTCCTAGAACTGTGAGGTTTATGTTAAATTCTGTCAAAAGAAAGGCTGGTATTTCAACTTTTAAGAGAACTAACTTGGTCTTACTGGGCATCTATAGCCAGCACCTTTGGTTTAATTGTATTATGGCTACTAGTGATAATGATAAATGGTACATAATTGCTGGATTTTAGTCACATATACGTAGTTTTAAAAGGTCCCTAAGTATTTTGTCTTTCCTTACCACTTAGTTTATTCCTTTATGCACATAGCCAGTGGAACTCAGTTTGCCTGTACCTACACATTAATGTAACTAAATCTTAAATTTGTATTGATGTATCTTACTATATTCTCTGCTCTTTGGGGACATGCTCACTGTTAAGTATTTGTGAGATTAATACATTAACATTTCCAAAACAGTTTAAAGTTAGTAAATACTATAAAATTCCTATTTCAGGTGACTCTTTTATATTTATTCATTTATTTATTTATTTTTCAATCCTCACCTGAGGACATTTTTGCATTTATCTTCAGATATAGTGGGAGAGAGAGAAAGACAGACATTTTTGCATTTATCTTCAGATATAGTGGGAGAGAGAGAAAGACAGAAAGACACATAGACATGAGAGAGACACATCAAGTGGCTACCACCCACATGACCCCAATCGGGCCCGGGACAAACTGCAACTGAGGTACTGCCCTTAGTGGGAACCGAACCTGGGACTCTCTGGTCCGCAGCTGACGCTCTAACCGCTGAGCCAAACCAGTCAGGGCTCAGGTGACTCATTTATAATCTGTGGGACTGCAGTAATAAGTGAAGGCCTTGTATACTCATCATTATAATAGTCATGTGACTGAAAAATCAGATAGGCATTGAAGCTGCTCATTCTGGGTGTTAGTCTGCATTTATAGGTTCTTCATCCAGGTGATTCTGAGTACTTTTTTTTTTAATCCTCACTTGAGGACACTTTTTCACTTTTTACCCAGATTGGGAGAGAGAGAGAGAAACATGGACGTGAAAGAGACACATTGAGTGGCCACCTCCTGCAAGACCCAACCAGGGCCGGGGACAAACTACAAGCGAGGTACGTGCCCTTGGGAACTGAACCCAGGTCTCTCTGTACTGCAGGCCCATGCTCTAACCGCTGAGCGACACCAGCCAGGGCCTGAGTACTTTTTTTTTTTAAATCCTCACCTGAGGATATTTTTCCATTTATCTTCAGATGGGGGGGTGGGCATCCACGTGAGAGAGACATCGATTGGTTGCCTCCCACACTACCCTGACCAGGGCCAGGGCCTGACCCTCAACCAAGGTACATGCCTTTAACCAGAATCCAACCTGTGACTCTTTGGTCTGCGGGTGAACACTCTAACCACTGAGCCAAACTGGTCAGTGCCTGAATACGTTTTTATAGCTAGCAATCATCAAAATATGAGATGCACTCTGTTAAATTGTAGCCACTTTGTAGTTTATAATGAATTAAGCTTGATTTTTTTTTTTTTAATCCTCACCCGAGGACATTCTTTCGTTTTTTGTTCAGATAGAGTGGGAGGGAGGGAGGGAGGGAGAGAGACAGACAGACAGACAGACAGCGATGTGAAAGGGACACATTGAGTGGTTGCCACCTGCACGACCCAACCAGGGCCGGGGACAAACTGCAACTGAGGTACATGCCCTTAGCGGGAACCAAACCCGGATCTCTCTGGACCGCAGGCTGACGCTCCAACCACTGAGCCAAACCAGCCAGGATGAGCTTGATTTTTTTTCTTTATTGAATTTAGAGAGAGAGGAAGGGGGAGAGAGAGATAGAAACATGGATGAGAGAGAACATCGATTGGCTGCTTCCTGCATGTTCCCCACTGGGGATTGGGCCCATAATGTGGGCATGTGCCCTGACCGGGAATCGAACTGGCGACCTCTTGGTACATGGGTTGATGCTCAACCAGTGAGACACACCGGCTGGGCTTGATTTGTTTTATTAAGAGGGTGGGTAAATATGTTTAAGCATATTTATCATACTGTCTAATACTCAAGTGAAGGGAAAGAGGAGAAGGTAAGCAGTCAGTGAAATAGGTTTGGAGTAGAGTGAAGAGAACAGTGGGAGATAAAATGAAATTGAAGAGGTAGGCAGGGACCAGATCATGTAAGGCCTTTAGGACATGGGAAGTTCTTCATGTTTGTTCTGAGATGAGTAATTAGATTTTTTTCTTTTAGCACGGGGATGTTATGATCTGATGTTAAATAAGTGGCTAGAATTG